ACTGTCAATGTCCTGCCATTCCTAGGGTTATCAAATACACTTGATTCACTGTATGTAGATATGGGTATCATCCAGCCATCTCATATCCTCAGTGAACTGTTGCACTAATAGGGATTTCTTGGACAAAACCTGTTTCCTACTGACTGGTTCTCAGATGACAGGCTGTTCTGGATGCACGGTGGTCAACACCCACCCACCCATGCAACCAGACAAACACTGGGTTGCTGTGTACCTAATAAAGCATGGCCGTGTGAGAAGGTTTTTAATTTTCCTCTCCATTAACAAGGCTACTTTCTCTCAAACAAGTAATATGACACTTTTAAGCAAAAATGCCAGCAAAGCCATATGGTAAAATAAACAATCATAAGATCTCCACCCTGTTGCCCCCAGATATTACTGTGTGGAGGTAGGGTTTGTTAGGTTTTTTTTAACATCATCGTAGCAAGAACTTATCTTTTAAACAGATTCTAAAACCAAATTCTAAGCATTTTAGTGCAAAACAGTTGAATGGTGATGTGATCTGTAAAAAGTATGTCTAAAAGCTTGAATGTGTAGACCCACTCAAAACATATTTCAAGAAGCCCAGACATATGCTTCTGCCATGACTTTCATCATTATTTTTTTACAGTATGTGTCCCTTGTTGGGTTGGGTTTGAAAGATAAACTGGTGTCTATCTTTTATTATTTTTTCCTTTTACCACCATCAGTTCAAAGATATTAAACCTAGATCAGGGGTGGGAAAAGTCCAACTCATGGGCCAGATTGGGCCTGCAATAGACTCCATTTCCCAGCAGCCCCTGCTTGCATCCCTGCAGCCGGTTTCCATGGAGAACCCAGCAGCGGCAGCACTGTGACAGCACAGGGCCAGGGTTTCTAGGAAGACCAACCCCAGCAGCACTGGCAGGGTACGCAGATGGGTGGGGAGCTGCTCCAGGGCCAGGGTCTTGTGGTGGTGACAACATGGTCTGGAGCCAGGGCTGAACCACAACCCACTGCCCGCATGCCCCAGGCAAGGGTGTGCAGGCAGCAGATTATAGCTCTACCCTGGCTGTGGACCACACTTTCACTGCCACAGGATCCCGACCCTAGAGCAGCTCCCCACTCAGCTGTGCACCCTCCGTGAGGGCTGTTCACCCTCCTTGAGGACTGAGATAAGCCAAGCTAGGAGAAGATCAACAAGTGCATCAATGAAAAAAGGGCTGGGAGGTCATTGAGAAGGCTGAGAGAAGTCATCGATGCTAATGGTCTGCAGCAATCCCACATGACAGTTTGGGGTGGTCCCCTGCTATCCCCCCCCCCCCCCCCGCCACTGCTGGGGTCTCCCATGGAAACTAGCCACAGCAACACAGGTAGGGGCTACTGGGAAATGGAGTCCAGCCACTGGCCAGATCTGCCATTTTGCCCACCCCTGACCTAGATAGTCAAGTTGAATAGTAAAATATAGATTAAAAACAATTAAAGCAAGAATGGAATTATTAAGGATTTCAAACCTCAAAGTTTGAATTCCAAAGTTGGATTTCAAAGTGGGACCAAGTCTATATTTTAGGACTTAAGCCATTTTCAGTGTTTAGGAGACAAAAAAGTAAGTGGCAGTAAAGCCTCTTAATCAAATCTTGAGTCTGGCAGACATTTTCAGATGTTACCAATGTTGCCTATAATAAAGGAGTGTGCTTAGTTCAGCCACAGCTTTCAGAAAAACATCCCAGCCCTAAGTTGTGCATTTGGTACAGACAAGATAAGCCTGGCTGATTCCCTTGACTAAATCAAACACACTGGATCCATTAACAACTGACATTTTGTACACAAAGCCCCCTTATCATGCCAAGAAGAAATGTTACTTTTATTCTCGTTCAATATATGTAATGATAGTTGGACATTTTTATTTTAATGCTTATTCCCAAGGTCCAACCCTTCCAGAATAACTTGGTCGTGATTCTTTGATGTTTCTAGGACTTTGTGAGTCACCCTATTTTCCTATTCTGGTAGGAAGAGACATCTTTTTCTTTTCTCCACATAACCCTAATACATGTAGGCTAGCTATTTTTGAAGCACAGCTGTGTAAAGTTTAGCTCTTTCATATTCTGTTATACCTGCTCTTTGGAGAATGTCCTTCCTTTCAGCACCCAGTAAGCATATCACTGTAAGTCTCATGTTTTTGTCTGCACTTGGAGGAGCACTTAATTGCTCAAGCTGGTACCTAGGCACAACAGTCCCACCCCAAATATTCAGTTAATTAGTCAAAAGCCCTGTTATCAATTGTAAGCAAAACTTAACTGTGGTATGATGAAACCTCTGGTTAGGTTGTTGCACCAGCTGCTTCTTTCTTGTGAAAGAGAACCTTTTATTAGACAGAGCTCTTATGAATTTCCATCACTCTTTTAGCAGACACACTTGCTTCGGTGTCAAAGCTATGTTTCCCTTTATACTGTTAAGAGCTATTTCTCAGATGGCCATTAGTAAGGCATCAGAGACTGAACCCAGTGGAGCCTTCCTCTGTTCTGGAGGTGGAGCAGTGGGGGAGTGAGTGGATTTGATAAGAAGCTTTGAAAAGGGCAAGTTTCTCTTCACACTACCAGGCATGTTATCAGACAGCAGTTCTAAAATAAGTCTGCCAATAATCTATATTTTTTCTATAGTGTGTGTGGGGAGGGGGGCAGGGGGGAGGACGGTGTTTGTGCACATGTGCACCCTTCTTTCCTCCTTTTCTTTCATTCCCCAAAGTATAAATTACTGTCTAGTCTGGTGAGAAAATCTGGTTTTTACCTCTATAACTTTCTGGTGTAGAAGCATTTAAATCTTTCACCAGGTAAACTTAAGGCTTTTTGATAGCATCTTCAAAACGTTCTAGATGATGGGGTGGGCAATTATTTTGGGCGGAGGGCCGCTTACTGAGTTTTGGCAAGCCATCGAGGGACTCATGACATGCAGCCCAGGGCAGATTAATATTCATTTTCTAAATTTTTTAGGGGCCCCGCAGGCCACGTAGAATGGCCTGGTGGGCCGCATCTGGCCTGCGGGCCACATTTTGCCCACCGCTGTCCTAGATGGAACTGGGATTTGCCAGGGTATGTTTTCCATGCCAGGGTCACTACCTGTAAATTCCCTCCAGGGTTCTGAAAAATAACTGTACACTTGGGCTAGGTACAGACATTACACTTAACACACATTAAGCGCACAGAAAGCGCTTTACAGCCATAACAGAACAGCTGTTCACAGCACATAACGTGCTTTAAAAATGGTGGATCCCATCGTGGATGGATGTGGTATCAGAGTAAAGTGCTTTTGGTTAGAACACTTTATCAAATGGCTTTACTACATCCAGCATAAACTGAGGTGGGTTGTGTTCCCTGACAGCCTAGAGGCCCCTCGCTGGGCAGCTTGCTAGTCTCATCTGAGTAGAAAAGCACCAGCACAGCCCTGCCCTGGGCTGTCCCAGAGAGGAGACTGAAAAGCCTCTGTCTCCACCCTGCATGGCTGAGTAGGGGGTGGGAGGAATGCATTCCCTCCTGCCATGAAGGTCCCCCACAGCTTGCTGGCTCAGGGGTCAGGGAAGGATTGGGCTGGGTCCATGTGGTGGTGGAGGGTCTCTTCCCCCACCTCCCTGCCCAAGCCTTCTGACAATTTTAGTGAGCAGCTGCAGCATGAGGCTGCTTGGCCTGACTTTTGGCTGTGCTGGGAACTGGGGGAAGAAGGCCTCCTGCCATGTGGACCCAGCCTGCCCCCCACCAAGACCTGATCCAGCAATCTGTGGGAGAATGCAAGGCACAGGGGCTCCCTTCTCTCCCCGACCTCCCCCCACCCCAACCTCTTGACTGCTACAGCCAGGAGCTGCAAGCACAGGGGCTCTGCCGTCCCCACCTCTCTCCCCACCCAGCTGCTACTAACAGTTGCCAGCTGGTGGTGGGAGCAGGGTTGGAGAGGAAGGTGCATCTGTTCTGTTCTGTTCTATTCAGTCCTGCTCTAACTTATAGTCTTTAAGTAAAGCTCAATAGAGTACTTCTGCCAGGGGCTTTTTGAATGTCTGTATTTAGCCTTAGTGTTCAGGTTAATTGTGAAGTTTTTCCCTCCCCAACGCCCTCTGACCCCAGGCACAATATATTCCAAACGGCGTACATAATACTCGGATTCTGGTAGTGCACATCCTTGGTAAAGACTGTCTCAGTTTCACCCCTTTCATAAACAGAGTCCAACAAATCATCTATAATGATCACACTTATTTTATTGAGTGGTGTAGCCAGGGCTCAGCTTAGGCCTGTACTCATTGGTATGGCAGCTGCCGGCACACCTCACAGGTGGCAGATCCCCAGCCGGGCTTGCAGGGAAACAGTGAGCCCATGCTCCCAGGGCAGACTCTGCTGCGCTGCTGGACAGGCAGCCAGTGCCTGGAAGCATTCCCTGGGCTCTGCACCTGGATCAGGGCAGGGATCAGAACCCCAGCCCCACAGGGGCTCAGACTGCAGCCCAGAGAGGGAGCAGGCAGCTGGTGCACAAAGCGCTGCCTAGGGCCTGGAGGCAACAGCTGCAGGGGATAATGAGCCCCTGGGGTGTTAACCTGCTGGCAGCAGCCAGGCATGTGGGAGTGGGCAAGGGGCTGGATTGGCTCATGCCGGCCCAGAAACCCCTATGTAAGTTTGTATTGACCCTAGGATGGGGGGAACACATGGACAGATGAGGGCTATCTTCATGTTTCCCTGTGGAGGCAGGAGATTTTGCAGGGACGTTGAGCATCTGAGCTTCCCAAACTGATGTTGGATCATCATGCTGCCAGGAGAAGCCACATACCCCTAGGGGCTAAGCTGGGGTTTGTGACTCCCCTGGCCCCACATTACTCATGGGGACTGCCCAGGACAGGCAGGCCCATACAGACTGAGCAAGTACAGGGCAACTCCTGTGGGTCTGGGATTGCTTGAGGAAGGGAGACCAAGGTGTCCAGAGGATGAAAGAAGAGCCTAGGGCATGGTCATTTGTGTTCTTATTGGTTTATTTGCTTCTTTACACAGACCATGCCCAGCTGATCCTGACCTTGCAGTAAAATCTAGTGAGAATAGCTGAAACACACAGACTCTGGACAACCTGGCTGCTTCTTTCTCCACCTGAGCTGCAAGGCAGTCACTCAGGACAGCCAGATGTGAGTGTCTAGCACCAACTGGAACCCTGAGTGGAAAGGGTGGGATATAGGGGAGGAGGAGCCCCACAGAAGACATTGACCTATGCCAACTTCAGCCAACTCTCTTTGAGCAGGTCCTACCTCCTTATACTTCTTTCCAACTACATCAAGTCATGGCAGGAAAGATTTGAAAGCAAGAGAGAGAGACACCTGTTGAGTGTGTGGCACACAGGCCCCATCCCAGTGCAGCTCCTCAGCCTGGGTCCCTTATAAGTGGCAACAACTGGTCATTATTAAATGTGTGAGACAAATCCTCAATACATTTGAGAGATTTGCAATTCTTTAGATGTTAGCTATAAAACTGCATGAGAATCTTGGGCATCACCGAGTTTACCCAGGGTTTTTCAGCAGTTTTTTGATTAAGAAATTGTCCCTGCAATTTCTCAGCCCCAGAGAAACAACTGTAAAAGGTGTTTCCACAATCTGGCCATTCTTAAAACCACAAGTTATCATTTTAAAATCTTTTATGATGACTCTTTTATCATAAGTGACTTTCTGTTGAATATTGGATATTGGTTTGGTTTTATTTAATTCTTTTAAGCATTGCTGTCTCTATTAGTCACCAGCTTTGGCTCCCTATGATGGACAATTGTTGCACAAGTGCTTCACAGGGGAATGATCAATGGGACCCAGGCAATATGAACTAACCCCCTCAAAATTGGTTTCTTCACTGTTCCTCACATACCTTTTTAGTTTTCATGCAGACCTCTGATGTTTTGTGCCTGTAGGATTTTGGCTCTGCTGCCACCACCTTTGTGATGTGCCAATCTGGTGGAATCTTGCTTCTCAGCTTCCCCAGGGGAGGGTTCATCTTTGTTGCTCATAAGCAGCACAGAATCTGATACAGATTGTGATCCTGGGACTGGCCAAGGAAACTGTACGACTCCAGGTGGATGCCAGCAGTGGTGATAGCAGCTATGAAAACACTGATATTTTCACAGATTGTGGGACGCAGTCTCACATCCAATACACATGAGCTGTTTCCTCATCAATAAATGCAGAAAAAACCCCTCATAAAATGGTAAGTGAGGAGGGAAGTTGAGTTTGTCAGGATCTCTTGCAAGGCTTCTGTTTGATCTGAGTTTCCCCCACAGGGAGTTCATAAGCAGGGTAGTAAATTTGCTTTCAGCTCAGTTCATTCTTTTGATCTCTGCATAAAAGAATGCTTTCTTCCTTACAGAAACTAATGCATTGATTTAGTTTTCTTCCCCTGTCTGTACTCTGGTTGGGAAATCCTAATGCCTCTTTTTTCTGTCTGAGGTATAGTCTGTATTTGGCAAACAGCTTATTTAACCTGTCAGGGAAATGCCAAATATTATGGATTATGGACACCGTGGACCCATCTTTTATAGACAAGGCTAATTCCACAGTGCACCAGAGGCCAGCGATAGGCCCGTCCTCTTCCGTATAGTGGACAAAGTGGCCAAGGCTACCTTTGCTTGAACTCCACACAGGCCAGGCACAGAGGGAACAGGGGTTTGCCATCTATCCCAAATGACAGCCAAGGGTAAAAAGAGCCCTCCTGGCAGATATACTTTAATTTGGAGAGTTCCAAAGAACTCTGTAGGCATGGTTGATTGCTTGTAAATGAATGCAGGGTGCTCAGTTGGGTCTTCCTGGATCCTGTTTATATATGAGCACAGTTTCTTCCAACGGATGATGGGAGTAGCCAATTTCTCTCTCTCTCTCTTTCCTTCCCCCTGGGAAAAATGTATGGGTGAGGGGGTTTAACATTTAATCCTGTATGCAGCCTTGTGGACTGTGGCATGATGTTATTTGAGTTACTTGAGCACAGCAACATCATGCGTCATGATTATTAGAATGGTTTTTCACAGCCAGAGCAGTGTTGGGACCAATTTTTTTTTTTTTAAAGAAAGTGTTATTTCTCATGTAACTTTCTTATCCAATCCAAAAAGCTCTGCATCAGTGAGTTTCTCTCTGACTACAACAACCATCATGCCTACCATGTACTGGATATTTCCACGCTTTTTTAAATCTACTAGGAACATCTCTTATGATAAATGATCTGGTTATAAGTCTTCATTTTTCACTCCCACCTGTGTTTTTTATAATAATCATAGTGATGCATAACTTCCCATTCCTCATTATCTCATCATTATTCCGAAGTAGATGATAGACCTGGGCTAGGAACTATTCTAAGCTTAGAGGACCCTTATATCTCCTGATTGAATACAAAGGATCCTTCAACCCTCTCACATTCAAAGTCAGCCGTGCATCTGGCTCTATTTGGGAGTAAGTCCTATCAAGTACATGTTGTATATGTCTCTAAACAGTCATGCTGTGATAATGTTAGAGTGATGTGATAGTG